CACATTTCATATTTTGGGCACTTCGGTGATCATAAAATCACTACGAAAAAAGTATAAAATAAGTGCACCATGAAATCGCATTAAACATTTCTTAAAAAAATGGCACTTTGATGCATAAATGTTCGCAACCCCTGCACTACGCTATCATCACTACATTATGAAAACGCGTCACTCACAGCAGTGTGGAACTGTGTCTATATTGATAGTTACAGAATCCCAATTCCTTCGGCCGTGGTACATGACTTTATCGTTTGTATCGTTTTTCAGTTGTTTCGCTTTTGCAACGTTACATAAAATCCTCTTACTTGTGTAGTGTCATCATCAGCCCGTCGCCGGAACACGTTGGCGGGCACAGGGTGTCTGTGCGGGACAAGCCTAAGTGTCGGCGGTGCCACTTTGTACTTCCACTCCGATGACGGTATGCTGTAATATTTTATATCAAATTAAGGAGTTGTTAAGAGGTTATTGAATTCACCTGCTTATGTTTAATAGCTTTTATGTTTAAAAACATGACTTCCCAAGTTATTAATATATGTAATTGGCTTTATAGGTAGATTATAATAAATTAACAGTCTAACAGTAAAGGTGAAAAGTGAAGTGAAATGAACAGGAAAGGTTCGGATCGTCCGGTGTAATACACGACCATACAGAAGACAGGCGTGAAGTGGAAGCAATTCCGCACTTCGTCTGACGACTATGGTGCCGCATTCCTTATTTTAGTCACTTCCCTTTTCTATAGGAAGGGGATATATCCTCTTTACGTGTGTCTCTTTTACTGTGTTAAGGGTAGGCCACGCATCTTCAATTGCGGATGTATATGGTGGCGATATCTTCAATTTCTCGGCGAAATCAGATGACCGCACACTCGTTTGCCACCTTATGAAATAAAATTAAAACTGTACCCTTACATATTATCGAAGCCATCAGTCCTAACATTGTCTGGTGGTCCGCAGCAGGTGAGCAGCCAACTGCCGCCGCATCCCCTGAGCCTCGTGCCGCCTCTCAGCCAGCAGCTCAGCGACAACGAACAAGGTTTCACTTCAGATCCTATGTTACACGTAGTCGGGTAACCGAAGAACGTTGCCAGCACTCGACTTGTTAGTGCTGTAACTTTAAAGATAAACATCAGTAAATTATAATACATTAGTGAACGATATCAGTGAATGACATTGGTGAAATTAATAAGTAGAATACTCATTCTATATCATTCATACTAAGTAGATGTATTATTATGATTAGTGTGGCAGTATCGTAGAATAGTTTTGTAACTTTTAGGGTCCCGAATGTTTAAATATTTTTTAGTTAACAGATGTCGGTTTGAGAGGGAACTTGTTTGAATCATTAAGGATTAATCAATGTGTGATTTCTTTATAAATTCTCACCTTCTACAGCTCGTGTGTGTCCGGCTACATTTAAGATGATTAGTGGGATAAGAACTTTTGTGCTCAACCGCCATTTTGTTAATCTTCTTCGCCGCCATCTTGTGAATTTAGTGAATTTTGATTTGCGGAGATGTGAATCTCTATAGAATGCTTTGTACACTTCGGAATGTTTTTTTGTTATCCATTGTTTGTTTGTGATTGTATTCACCCTTGACATGTCGCTTTTATAAGACTGTATTGATCGGACATATCGCAAGTTGGTGTTTAACTGGCTTTATTTAGAATTGAGTCTGAAAAACGAAAACAATCGGATTAAATCATATTGTTTATTCAATTCTTACAAACAAATTGAAAAATGATTTAACCATATCTTAATAGTCTTCTAACGATTTTAATATAACTTTCAATTCATATTTTAACACCTCTACTTGTCGTTTATTAAAGCATTTTTAATACAACACCGTGGCCCAGTAGCGCGGTGACGCGTACACCGCTTTCCCCTGTTAATTGTTGCATTAAAGTTGCAGCCTTTATTACTGCCAGACTTAACCGATGAGAGCCAGTGAGAGTTGAAAATACAATGCTTACAAAAGACAAAGAAAAGCAAGCTTACTTATTATATCTTACTAATGTAAATGCGAATGTCTCGATGGATGGATGTTTGTTAGTTTGCTGCCTAAACGACTGTACGGATCTCGATGAATTGTCATAGATGTAGAGCATAGTCTGGAAGAAACAGGCTGCTTGCTTTTGTTTTTTTATTTAAGCTAGTATGCCTTAAATCTATTGGCCGAATACTGAAACGAATCTTAAACATTTTGCTTTATAAGCACCACTTACAATCTGACAGATGTCAATATGGTTAAGGAATTTTGAGTTGAAGCATGGGCTAATAAATTAACACGTTGTTACATACTTTAATTTCGTTTCAGTAATCTGCCATAAGAGGTATAAATAAGCCTTAATAAATAGCAGTCCCATCCAGAAGTCACTTAAACTAAACACCTGAAAGTACTTTTATGTTACTTTATGGAATAAGTATAGAATATCACCCAAAATCTTCAAAATCGGAAAAACCTTAACTCAAAGTAAAAATAGGACGGATATACAAATTGCATATCCGCTGAAATCATAGTGCGTTTAAACTGCCAGTTAGATTTATAAAACCATAATGTTATCTTTGTTTCTCTAAACATAATGAGCGAGAAGACAATACCATTATTGTAAGATTGTTAAGGCAGTGATGAACAACTCTCCCGCTCACATACACTAATTCTTTTTAAAATTCTATTTTTAAAACGAAAAGTAAAAGTGAAATAACAATGACTTATTGGAAACAATTTGAAATAAGAACGCAACAAAACAAATGAGCTTCGGGCAAAGATTTGTTAGTGATTTCCCGCTTTCATTTTCAATGCATTTTTATTTAAGTAGGTTAAGCAAGCGGTTTTGTTTGTTTAAACTGGAATATTTACGGACTCCCTTTGTTGAAAACGAGTTGAAAACACAAGTAAAAGTGTAGTGAATCATATGTTAGCATACATTAAGGAAGTCAGGTTTGAAATTGAGAACCGAAAACTAAAATTGATTTAAATTTTTTGACAATGTCATTAGTAATTAAAACCAGTTACCGAAATTTTTAGGCCAGTTAATTATTGTCGATAGAACGTTATAATAAACACACAAACGTCTGAAAACTTTTTATAACAACTTAATTAAAATCGTAATGCGATAAAAGCTCAGTGTTTACGTTAAGTTGAAACTTATATGCTTTATCTTATACCTTAGTATAAGACAATTTGTCACATGCATTAAGTAAATTAAAAAAATGGTAAAGGTATAACTTTTTTTCTAGCACTTTCATGGGATTTTTTTAGGTAAATAGATGATAAAAAATTAACGCCAATAACACACTCTGTATTCTTGGCGTTAATTTTTTATCATTTATTAAAGAGCTTTATATAATTGATACAATTTGATTTCAAACTAGCTGTTGCTTGCGACTTCGCCCACGTGAATTAAAAAATGTAGCCTATGTTATTCACAGATAAATTACGTTTCTAACTGTAAAAAAATTTTTAAAATCGGTATAGTATTTTTTGAGTTATTTCAATACATACAAAAATACAAATCTTTCCTCTTTATAAAAGTATAGAATACAGATTTGAAGGAACAGTCAATTATTTTATATAATGTCAAAGTGTTGTGTTATATGCTTTTACAGAAAAAAAAGTTTCTATAAGTTTAATCTAGTGTTATTTATATTAAATTAACCGCAATGTCAAGACTCAAGATTGTTAATGAAAGTAGCGATATTAGGCATAACTAGGTCACCTCTGTCATCTTCCTACATTTCTCTGCGCCTAACCCGATCAAATCGATCGAAACAGGCTTTTTAGGACCACACTATAGCATACTCACTTGTTGACAAGATCAGCGCCTTTCACTTTTATATCTAGAAACACTTTCACTCCGGCAAAACTCACAAGAAACAAATCGTGCAATTATTTTCTTATTAAAATGTCATATAGATCTTTTATAACATCTTTCACGTAAAATTTATATGAAACATTCGTTGATAAATAATTAATTATTTAGATAGAAATTTAAATTTCGAATTATAATAGAACTGGATTAGTTTGAATTTAATTTATTATGTTGCCGCGAAATGAACGTTCGTGTATGTATTTATGGGCACGTCCGTTTCTCACGGCGTTTAAAGATTGACTGTCACTGGATTTCTCAAAACCAGTCGCTGTAAGGCTGGTTTCACATCGATACCCCTTATAGCACCACCTTGATAGCGACAAATACTGTATTTCTAATGGCTTTTATGTTGGATGCATGTTTAAAAATACATATTTTGACAATAAACTGACCTTTGACACCACTGTATTTTTAAACATAGAACGTTTTGGACTCGAAAGCATTAAGAACATTAGATTCTTAGTAGTATGCAACCTTAACTATTCTAAGTGTTGTAACTGCATTGTCTAAAATATCGAACACTAGCTATTGCTCGCGATTTCGTCCGCGTGAAATTAGAAAATTGGTTACTCACTGATAACGTAGTAGCTCTGTAAAGGTGAAAGAATTACTGAAATCGGCCCAGTAGTTTTTGAGTTATTTCAATATGTACAATAGTACAAATCTTTCCTCTTTATAATATTAGTATAGTTAACCAATCTAACCAATTACACCAATTTCATATTCAATCACAATTGTGTAGTAAAATAATAAGTATGTATTCGGATGAGAATAATTGAAAAAGTTTTTTAATTTTTTAATGAATAAAAAAAAACTGTTTTCTGTCGTTTACTAGTTATATTAATACGTGTGTTACAACCTTTATATCAAGCAGACAGCCTCCGGAGCGGAAAGTTGCAGATAGTTCTATTTGTTTTTTTTTTTAAATTGCGATCTTTTTTTCTCTCGAGTACGTAACGAGAGACGTATTAATATGATTAGTCAGTAGATTACATTGCATTTTTTCTTATTTACCCTTTCTAAATGCGTATAGAACATTTTAATTCAGATTTTGTATGTTTAGATGTCAGTGTCATTGTATTGAATTATTTTTTATTTTGCAACAAATGTTTTAGGTGAGAATTTGGTTTCTATTACCTAAATATATGCAACATTTTATAATTACTTTCATTATCTATGGAAAAGAAACCCTAGAGGTTTTTCTCATTTTATAGAACAGTTTATATTTTTACGGTTAATTTAGAAAAGTTAGTACTTTCTCAAGAAATTCCTATCTTACATGTAAAATGAGATTTATATATGAACCGGAACCTTTCTTCGTATCTAATAACTGATCTGTGCATTAAATGTCACTACACAGAGTGAACGCTCTGTAGTTTTAATACACTATGAACTGCATCGATAGACTAATGGTTAAGGGTACAGAGAGATCATACGGTTATAGCTTTAATTCTCTTGATTCCATTATTCTCATAAACACATATGGCACAAAAACTATCGCGGTAAAATAGTGGTTAGAAATATTATTAAACAAGCAATATTATTCTAAAATCAAGTATTCTGTTATTTAGGACGTTAATGATTAAGAGCGTGCGCACACCTGAAACTAAACTATTGCACAACTGTTCAGTCGCCTATAACTATGTAGTTGTGCAACTAAACACTTGAATTGGCTGCGAAACAATCGACAATCGTACTGCAGTTCAACGATAGTTTACTCAAAGGTGCCTTTAATTCCAAAACAAAAGAAATCTGATTTATCCATTTTAACATGACAATAAATACACTGACTCACTTTAATTATTATGCAATTCGGCGCCAGAATCTCAAACTGGCCATAAGAAATCTGGTCACACAGAATTTGCATACCAAATTTCACTCAATTTCCTTTAGCCCAATAACCTAAATATACAAATAATGATTTCACCAGTGAACCAAGATTTATTATTTTATACTCAGTTATTAATAAAATTTAAAACTAAAAATACCATTGTATTATTTAAAAGATGTTTATTAAGCAAATGCATGTTTTTAAAATAACATTACAGTATTATACCGTAGCAAAACGTATTTTAATTTTAATATACTATTTTAATACGGATTTTAAAATTAATTTAATTAAAAAAGATAACACAGGTAGTAAAATATTTAAAAAAAATACATATTTCTTATCTATAAGCATTATTTACTTAATTTAAGTAACTTTCTATACTATTTTTTTACACATGGCACACTAAATGCTTAGACATGTCAACTTCATTAAATAAAACAGAAATAACAGACCATTGTATAAACGCTTGTACCATTCTGACCACTAGTATCTGCTTTATCTGTCAATAGTTTGATCATTTCATCGCTGATTCCTTTTTCTTCTAACGCGAGATGCATGACGTCATCAATTGTGTGCAGCAGTGCGTAATTCGATGTTTCCGACTCCGATAACCAGATTCGGTTCTTACTTTTTGTGACAACGTCTTTTTGGCTTGGTGTATCCGACAGTCGGTCTAAATGGGCAGCTGTAATGAAACAATAGGTTAAATGAGTTTGAGAAAAACCTTGACGTCCTAGTTAAGACCTACTGTTTCCTACATTAAATAGTGGCAACGTGTTAAGTAACATTTTCAAATAAAAATAGTTTAAATTTGCATCTCAAAAAAAATGTATGCAATTTTTCTTGTTTTAAGTCTAATCCATTTTTAAAAGCTCAATTCAATTGTGATATTTTTTTTTGGTTTTATTTATTTAGGCACTAAATATTTTGTTATGCACTAATGGGTAACGGTTTGGCTTCTGTGACAAGAGCAACCTAGTGCTGCCATGATTCTCATTGAATGTATGCGAGTGACAACAAAGCATTCATTTATTATTTACTAGCTATCGCCCGCGACTTCGTCCGCGTGGATTTAAAAAAAAAACAAAAGTGAATAGCCTATGTGTTCTTCCAGACTATCCTCTACATCTATGCCAAATTTCATCGAGATCCGTTCAACCGCTTGGGCTACAAACTCTAACTAACATCCATACATCCATCCATCCATCTAAACTTTCGTATTTTTAATATAAGTAAGATTTACCGCTTGGGAGATTTCGGTTCTTTAGAATGCCTTCAAGCACTGGGTTGTTGGCGATGCGGTTGTACTTGTGAGCGAAATCCCAAAGAGTAGAATATGATACGGATACATAATCGGCTTCCTTTTCACAGAGGCCTCTGAAGTCGTCAGTGTCCACGGACCATGCCATCACACCGCCCAGATTGTATTCGACAGCTTTCCTGAAAATTAATTGATAATTAAAAAAAAAACAAACCGAATCCGAAAACTTACTTGAAACGACTGTGTAAAGTTTAATTAAGTTTTAATGTAATGAAAGACAGAGCCTGTTATAGTCTTTTTTTCAATCTATACTAATATAAGAGGAAAGATTTGGATTTATGTATGTATTCAATTCACGTAAAAACTAATGGGCCGATTTCAAAAATTCTTTAACCATTAGAAAGTAATTTATCTGTGAGTAACAGGGGCTACATTTTTAAATTTCACGCAGGCGAAGTAGCGAGCAATAGCTAGTATACTATAATTCCATACTGCATAAAATAAAAAACTTACTTGACTTTAAGAGCAATCGACCTTGGGTTGTCGTAAGTTATGACGCGTCCACCGTCGCGTAGGTAAGGCGTTGCAGTCTTTTCATCCCAGTGGCGTACCCATTTAGAATTTGGATCACTTAATTCCAAGCAAATCTGGTAGAAAACAATTTAAGAGAGAATATTGAGACTGATGTAGCAAATTATACTATTTTATAAATATCATAGTTGCAGAAGTTTTCGCTACTTATAAAAAAGATGGCGTTGTCTCTACAACGCCATCTTTTTTGCTCTTTACATTTTTTAATATTTCGACCATCTTTGATTGTGTATTGTTTTGTTTTTGTGGCATATGTTGAAGGTCAAATATCTGATCGTTTCGTTGAATATTACCTAGGTATTTTTGTTTATTTAAAATTCAAATAAATCGTACTTACCTCATTGTAACCCATAAAGCCAGATTCTTTGCTCAAGGGCCCTTGCCAGGATTGCGAAGTGATTGGTGTAACACCGAACTCTATGTTAGGTATGGTGGGATCCTTCAGGATGTAACCGTGACCGAAGAAAGCAAGACCTAGGATTATTTTTCCCGGAGTAACTCGATGAGAGAGTAAATACTTAAGAGTGTAATCCTGCGGAAAAATGATGAGTTATATAGTTTTTTACGAACTAAAACGTAATTTTTTAAAACCCTAAGCACATCTTTATGTAGTTTATATTGTTTATGTTATATTGCATAACTATTTTCATTGTTCAACAGAAGCTTGTAAGATATTTAAAATAATGAACAAATCTGATGTTATTGGGTCATTAAAAAGTCAGTACAAAATTGATTTGTAAGACCAAGTATTTATCGACCAATTAGTAAAATTTCTCAACTGAAAAATTGAAAAGAAATAACTTACCACATTAACAAAATCATTATTATTAACCCCATAAAGAGCTGCATTCACCCCTATAACTCCTTCCCAAGAGCCGTGATAATCATAACAAAGTACATTGTAGTAATCTATGTATTTGTCTAATTGTGGAAGATCGTATGACAGATCTAGAGTATATTTTGTAGCTCCTAATGCTACTGTCAAGATGAGGGAGTGAGGAGTGAAGGCTGCTTTTAACTCCTGAAACGTTATAAATAATATAAAAAAATATAATAGAGGTAGGATATGTTTAAATTTACTTCACTGACTATGGTAATTCTTTCATCAAGATTTGACTTGTTTGAATTTTATCGAATTTGTTGTTGCGTGTCTACCAATTTCTATCAGTTCTTATAAAATCCGATGAACCAACAAAATACCATGACGTATTTAATAACTCGTATTTTTGATGAATATTTGAGTTTAATGTCCTTGAATTTGTGTAGAATTATGTTATGACTTCTTTAAATTATCACCTTGACATTTTACTAATGAATCAAATATAATTCTGTCTGTTAGCGCTATTGCTGCTTCTTTAATAAAGATGTGACGTCAATCGTTTTTCATATGTTTTTCCGGTTGTATTTAGAACTAAACTAGCTTTCGCCCCCGACTCCGTCCGCGTGGAATTAAAAAAAAACAAAAGCGAGTAGGCTATGTGTTCTTCCAGACTATGCTCTACGTCTATGCCAAATTTCATTGAGATCCGTTCAGCCGTTTAGGCTACAAACTCTAACAAACATCTAAACTTTCGCATTTATAATATTAGATATTACATACCTTTACTAATGAAACGAAATTGGGTCTGTCCTCGGGTTTATCATCTCTTACAACTGGATATTTCCAATGCAAGTCCAATCCATCAAATTGGTGCAACCTGAAAGTAGAATATCATATAGGACCTATTTACAGGCTAAACGACGACAGTATATTAACTGGTAGGTAGTTGAGAACTTACTTTAAGAATTCAACCGTACTCTGTATAAATTTCGCTCTGAAATTTGGATCTGCGGCCATCTTTGAATATTTCGTTGTGCCTTCGTTCCATCCACCGACAGACAATATTGTTTTTAAATGCGGAAATCTTTCTTTGAGTCTAGCAAGACTCTGATAGCCAGCGTTCGAGTAACCTTTTTCAAGTGCACTGTCTGGAAAATTATAAAACAAATGTGTATAATTATTAAATTCATATCACTATGTCAGCACTGCACTTTGTGTTCTATTTCTAATCCAATACGGTTGCTTTTGTTTGAACAAAGATTGTTAGTATTAAATGACTGTAAAATCAAGCAATGTCATTCTTATTAAAGTTGAAGCGACAATATATCTCTCGTAGTACATTTTGTTTACTTGTTTAAAGTGTGTTAGATTTAATTTGATATTTACAATGAATTTTAGAAGCAATTACAATAAAAGACACAAAGTTTTAAATTCTCATCTGCAACTTAATCCTTTTAATGTGTATGGATAGATTTAGTTGGAATAAAACCTTCTGACATAGTAATAGTATTTCTTACCGATACTTTTAATTGTCATCATATTTTCATCAATTCCAGCAAATATGTAGACAACGTGCGTACACAGGGATGGATCCAGGTCGTTGAGGTCGAACTTGCCATCGCCTGCGCGGTACGTTGCCCAAGTTGCTAGGTAACACATTACTACTTTGCCGTGTGTTGGTCCTGCAAATACATATAACATTTCTGAAATACAAGGATGTTATCTTCATCTAATTAGGAATGTTTGCTTAGTGTACAATTGTGTGTGTGTGAGTTTTATTTTTTATTTATCAACTGAATCCGGCTCTAGTTGGTTAGAATTTTTTTAAGTTCATAACTTTACATCAATCATTGTCATTGGAATTGTTGTACCAAAAAATCATATTAAATTTATACTTTAAAAGATTGGCTTGGTTGAATATCATCAATGAGACAATTTAACATTTGCTTATAAAAATACAACATAATATTGGTCCATACAAACTAATAGTAAAGATTTCTTGTTAATAATTTAATCGATTCTATCTATAGGTGATACTGATATCAAACAGCAGTAAACACCGAGGTAAAGTGAAACCGGTTATCGGGGGAAAAAATTAAAACCAATTTAGCGTAGCTGTCAGTTCTGCGAATCATATCACCAACTCTGTTAACATAAGACAAATCATAAAGTAATGTGAAAAAGAAAAAAATAGCTAACTCGTATTGAGTATATCGCCAGCCAGTTATCCAAAACATTATCTAATAGCCCCTCTACTAATATCATTGCATAAGAATCGATTCAATAAGATGACCCTTAGAACATTTCGTTATATGAAAGAGAAGATAGAAAAGAGATAAGATAAAGGGAGATAGCTATACATTTTTCAATGTGAGAAACAAAAACATTGGTGCCCGAAGCTAATTAAGGGATGTACAGTTGCGGAAATACGCGGTGTTCCACATAAAAATTGCCTTGTTCATTGCAACAAGACAAACTTCGCCTCTTCCTTAAAAAAACTAATTAAATAGTAGTAAGTAATGTTAATGAAGGGATAAAAAAAACTAGTCGTGTTTCACTAACCGACATTTTTTTCAGGTACAATTAAAAGTTGTATTAATTTTTGTTCCGCGTCTCGTTTCAAAATATTCAAATGATTGTAGCTTTTAATATGGAACACCACCAGTTTCTCAGTGTATACATTCCCTAAACAGTCAGTGGTTAGAGGATCTCAATAAGTATACGTATCTAGCATACGAGTATAATAGTCGTTACGTATGTAATTGCAGTTTTTTAATAGTACTTACCAGTGGATTGACATCGTAGGACACACGCCGTTAAAACGACAAACAGCAATAGGATTTTCGTATTCATTTTGATATATGACTAGAATTATTAAATCATTTAATGATCTGAAAATAAAGAAATATTTACAAATGACACGACAAACTGATTTCTACGCGTAAATTTCTTCTTAAAGTGCCATTGTCTTCCGAAGTTCGGCAATCATTAGGGCGATAGTGTAAGTTTACTAAGGGAAAATAAGGTGATGTAAGTTATAAAGTGTTAATAAAAAGCAACTAAGTAAAATTAAATAAGATATTTAGAGATAATACCATCTTCATATTCTCTAGCCTGTACATCTATCTCGGGTTTTGCATTCCTTGTATGTTTGCAATTGGCATTACTTAACATGAAGTGTGAGACTCGTTTTGTACCTTCCATAAAACGCAAACTGGATAACTTGGGATTTGCTATCTTATGTCTCTAAAATACCCTATGTGTGATCTCAAATAATTTTAAACAATCCAGGCTATTACTATTTTAAAAGTAAAGTTTGGTCTCATGGAAACATACAGTCTATTTCAATTTTCAGATCAATTTTAAAGATTCCTTATTGACTTCTACTGTATATCTATACTTCTATACTGTATGTCTATATTATATTTAATAAAGCGTAAACACACACTTCTTTGTTGCCTTTCAGAAATTACAACATATTTTTGAATAATTCTCTTTTTAATAAAAGCTTACTTAAGTCACGCTTTAGGCTATATATTTTCACGCCATTGAACTTAGGGGGTAAATATTTGGATAAAAACCCTTAGTGGGAAAGAGACTATAAGTTGCTTCCAACATCAAGGAAGCAAAATTCCCATACTTTGTCATCATGTCATGTGATTTTGACATTTGCAATTGAATTTGACAAATCAATAAAACAATTTTCATAATTTCATGCGAATTAAGTCGCACGGGAACAACTAGTGTTGTATAATTTATAACATAAGCACTTGTTTTACGACATGTTAAATACAAAAAACAAAACAAAACACTGTTCCATTGAAAAAAAGGTAATCAATGTTTTGGCCAGTTTTAACAAAAACATTCAAACTTTTTGGAAAAGATAAGCAAAACATTTATAAAACATTTAGTAACTTTTGATTGCAAATTACATTTTAATAGCGCATACAAAACGATTTTATAAAAATAACAATGGCAATAATAACCTTCGACGGTTAAAAAAAACCATTGTAGTTTTTATTTCATAAAAGGTATAAAAACTCACCTTTTATTAGTAGTGAACGTATGACATTAACAGTCTGTTTCTTATTATAATAGGAAAAAACTTTATTTGAACACTAATCGTGTAGATTTTTAAAATTACATGTAACATTGAATTTGACGTCGTTCTCCATCGCGAGATCCACGTATACTATTTTGTTCGTATCCAGTATTGTATTAAGACGGACTTGATTACATTTTATGCATATATGTGAATATTATATCGCGAAAAATGTTAATAAGGGTGTTTCGTATTTTACTCACTGCAAATTGTGGAATTCACAGACCATGGTTTAAGCAGATTTTTTTTTTGTTTACCAGACATTTAGCTGATTCTGTATCTTTACATTTTTTCATTACATGTAAGTTTTCAATTTTTGTTGAATGCAGATTCTTAAATAGGCTTTGAAAGATAAACAAATGAGAGGTTTTAATACTTGTTTAATTATTTTATGAAATGATTGGCTTTTGCCCGCGACTTCTCCTGCGCGTAGTTAAAAAAAGTAAGAAGCTCATGTTTTTTTTTGTATAATATGTTGTACATCGGCGCCAAATCGAGGTATTTTAAGCCGTTTGGAGATATGTAGAACAAACATCCATCCATCCAAACCCTTACCTATCTTACTAATATTAATAAATGCGAAAGTTTAGATGGATGGATGTTTGTTAGTTTGTAGAATAAACAGTTGAACTGATCTTGATGAAATTTGGCATAGACGTAGAGGATAGTCTGAAAGAACACATAGGCTGTTTGTTTTTGTTTTTTTTTTACGCGGACGGAGTCGCGGGAAACCGCTAGTATATTAATAAAGTATGATTAAATTAATTTGACATTGTCCATTCGGTAATAATGATAAGAACCCATGGTCAATTAATTAGTGATGTTTGTTATTGTTATTGTTATTGAAATGATAGATTAATTGAAGCAGTACATAACAAATAATTAACTATACAAGGAAAATAACACAGTTAACACAAGATAAAACAATGTTAAATTCAAAATGTTGTGTTACAATTTATAATTAAATTTGTCATTGATATTTTAAAATGTGAAGAACGAAGTGAGATTGGAGGGATTTCAGATATGAGTAATTGCTTCGTCTTGGCTCTTAATATTTGATAACGTCCTATATCTAAATGTAATATGAAGTTTACTGCAGAAGTACACTTCTCTTAGTAACACCATTAATTTGAAGACAAAAATATTTTGAATAGGCAAATAAAAACACAAGATAGGTTTTATATTTAAATTTACCAAAAAACATTTGTAATATCGTAAAAACAGTGTGCATGTTTGTCGGTATAGTTTATGCAATGCTAACAAAATATTGTCGAAGTCGTTACCAATACTTTCCTGCAAGTTTTTGTGCTAGGCTCCCAGTTTTTACACCAACACGCTAGCGTGACAGTTTTGTCGGTCCTTACAAAAATGCAAGGCCTTCTGTCAATCAACCGCTTTTACTCCCACAGTGTACAAAACCATTCCGTTGAACTTTATGTAAATAATTTAAAGAATTTGTAAAATAGTCCCAGTAGATTACATCTTGACATGTTTTTCTTTGTATAGGAAAAGTTTAAATCATTCAATTCGAAATTCAAAAATGTATTCTATTTTTTCTCTGAGTAAAATTTGAATTATGATTGGAATGTCTAGGATGAAAGAAATAAAATCAATTATACGGGTTTTAAATTGTTTATTTATTTAACGACGTATAGGCAATTGATATTGTGATCATAAATACAAATATTATTAAAGTTAAAAAATTAAACTATAATATATAAAATGGCATGTTGTTGCCGTTACAGTCATAATGTACAACGTCGTTCGTTTGCGGTATTCAAATTAAAGAAAAATTGCCAATTACCTGTAGACGAACTTAAAACATTCTTTGTTTTAAAGTATTCAAACACTTGATAGTTGGAATACTGCCAACGAACGTGACTGTACTCGTACTTTCGCAAGAGTTTTCATAATATTCTATTGATATTCTTCTATTACTATTTGGATTAAACTGTAAATTACAGTTACATTTAAATGAAGCAGAAATAACAGACAACTGTGAATAGACTGTTAGTTGTAACCCCAATATTGCCAGGTTTTTGTTTTGGTGGTTTCTCGTTAATAAGAGTGACCATATCTGTCATCACGATCTTCTCTTCAGTGGCAAGAGTTAATGAGTCGACTATAGCACGAAGTAGTGGATAATTCGGACTCGACTCCGTTGTCCAGAGATGGTTCTTGTGCGCGATCTCTGTAGATTTGCTCAAACTGCTCAGCTTTTGCGCTAAAAGGACAAAAATAATTAGTACTTATTACAATATCTCATTGAGTTCTTATTATTTATCGTATTATATACAAGCTGATCCCGTTATCTTTTATCACACATGACTTTTTTTATTACATAGGTGGCAAACTAGCAAGACAACTGATATTATAGATGCGATGCCTATGTGTCTCATCATGATAACCAATTTTTCTTCCCATCTTTTTATTTGAGATGAAAAGTGAAATAAGCTGCTGAAAAAAGCTATGCCTCCGCCTTGACTAAACATAGTCTATCGATGTATTAGTAAAATTTAACAAAATAGATGAGATAAAAAAAGACTGTCGTTGGTAATAAAAACTCACCGTCGGGTAGATTAAGATTCTTGAGTACTTTTTGTAGTACAGGATTACTGGCGATACGATTGAACTTTTCTACGAAATTGTGTAATCCTTTAAACGATAGTGAAACGTAGTCAGGCTCTCTGTCACACAAACCCTTGAAGTCGTCAGTATCTATGGAGTAAACCATCACACCTCCAAGGTTGAATTCCATTGCTTTTCTGAAACATTGTCATATCAAGTTAGTACATTCATACATCTGATATTATAAAAAGGAAACGTTTGTATTTTTGTATGTATTGAAATAACTCAACTACTACTTCTACCGATTTCAAAAATTCTTTTACCGTTAGAAAGCTACGTTATGTGATACCATCTCTATTCAGTTTACAATAACCTATAATGACGTCTAAATATGATTCACTAAAAGTCGATTTTCAATTGCATAAGACCGAAAATCTACATTAAAATTATTCCACTGAGGACAAAATGCTACGCATATTTTTTTTTAAAACCTCCACTGCTTTGTTGTTGTTTTATCTGACTAAGAATGCTGTAATACTAACTTTACTTTAGCAGCTAGAGATCTCGCATTATCGTAGGTGATGACCTTTTCTCCATTGCGTAGATACGGTGTCGCTGTTTTTTCGTGCCAAAGACGAGTCCAGTTATAATCGTTCTTTTTAAGCTCCATACAGATCTGGCATTAAAAATATTGTCAAATTAAATATAGCCACGAATTTCCATTGCCTTTATAAATTATAAATTCAAAAGGTTGGATAGAGGAGTGTTTGTCCGTAACTACACTTAAGAGCATAAATTTGGGGTCACTTAAAAAACCTAAAAATCTCTAATTTTAATCATTAAACACCGTTTATTTCGTTAAGCTAGTATTCTTAGTTTACGGTAGTAATAATCTATATTTTTGTTTTAAGTGAACCGAATTCAATGCTCTTGAGTGTATAAAACGACTAAATGGTTTTGTAAAAGATTTGAGATATAGATTACATTATTCAGTATAACTTTTTTAATCTTACAAAGTCGTGATCGAAGCAAGTTTATTTATAAATGTTTTTTTACCTCATTATAACCTATAAAACCACGTTCTCTTGTATAAGGTCCATCAAATCCTTCGCTTTTTACAGGCGTGCTACCAAATTCAATCACGTCAGTATCAGCATTCTCTAGGATGAATGTGCGACCGAAGAGAGGCAACCCTAATAACACTTTCCACGGACTGACTCCTTGGTACATCAGGTATCTTAGTGTGTTTTCCTATAAATAAAAAATAATGTATTATATATTGTACCTGCATGTATGCTTATAAAATGTAAAAAATTACACACTGTTAAATAATTTAACAGTTGCAATCTTTAAAAAAAGTACATAACGTACAATAATTAATATAGACATAATAGTTTGTTATTTTCAAGTATTCAATATTATTCTCCAATAAAAAAAAAGTTTTACTGTGCCAGATGTACTGTTACCAAATTAAGCAAGTTTTAAATGTGGACAAGTATGTAAAATCTGTGACAGAAAAATACTTACAACACTAAAGACATCGTCTTTATTCAAACTATTGAGGGGGGCGTTAGCGTTAACTACTCCATCCCACACGCCATGGTAATCATATGCCAGTGTGATAAAATAATCCACGTAGTCATTTAGCTTGGGCAAAGAATAAGCGGCTTCCATCACGTAGTACTGTGCACCGAGCGACATTGCCAGAATGTATCTGGCTGGTGTAAACGCTTCTTTTATTTCCTAAAACAAAAAAGAAGTTAGCCATCAATGTAATAAATATTTCAAAGTTGCTAGTCCTTTAGTGCGGTTTAATGAAGCTTTTACATAATAATTACACGCTAACGTCTCAATGAAAAAATCTTAAACCCTTAGAGCCTGTCCCACCAAATTTTAAATTGTCTGATAATCCAACGTGTTTTTGTTACCTTATCTGACAGTGACGTCATTTTATTAGCCAGTGGTGGGACAGGCCCTTAGTTTCGTTAGCGCCGCTTACAATCAGACGCATGTCTTTCAATAATTAAGTGACTATGATTTAATACGTTATCATATATTTCGTTTCAGTATTAATTTGTTTATTTGATAAACAAAAAGAACTTACTTTCATTAACGTAACACAATTATCTTTGTCATCTGGTCGGCCGTCTCTCTGCGTAGGAAACTTCCAATGCATGTCTATACCATCGAATCCATAGGTACTGGAAATTATATATTACTTTAATGATAACGAAGTATATAGGTTAAGTCTGCTACACACGCTCAGGTTACAGATAACTCTAATGTGTGTGAATCTGTGAAATAAACAGCTACTAGTTTTGTAATTTATTTGCACCATTAGAATTCTCAGATAAAACTTAATGTGTGTAACAGGCTTTAAGGTACTAGGCAAGAATAAATAGTATAACGTATATAAATAGCATCCGGGTTCTAATTTCGTTTAGTTTTCTGTATTTACAGGTGTTATGATTTGTTTAGTTTTCGATATGTTATCGCAGCTGTTTACGGTCGATAATCAATTAACATAAAATGGATGGATGGATTACTCAATTACACGCTTAAAATTTGTCTAAAAATTGTGAATAGTATAATTTTTATTAGTGACTTTGATTCTTTTCAGGTATAATAATATTAAATCGTTACCTTTATTACCAAATCGAATCAACCAATCTCATGATAACGGCAGAATACTGAAACGAAACTTAAACACTTCGCTACATTAACGCCAGTAACAATCTGTTACAAAATGTAATGGAATTTTCAGTTTAAACGTTACCATATCATTTAAAACACATATTTAAATGTCGTTTCAGTATCTATTATGTCACTAGACACTTTGTATGAAAATTACTTACTTAAGAAATTCAAGTACACTTTTGATAAATGTTTTTCTGGCGGTAGCAGACGACGCCAAGTTAGAGAATTTCAAGGAGCCTTCGTTCCATCCTCCGATGGAGAGAAGCACTTTCAAGTTAGGATTTTGTTCCTTTAAAGCTGCCATGGCTTTGTAGCCTGCGTTCTCATATTTACCATCTCTGTCGAGACCGGGATCTGAAATTTTAATCAATAAAGAAGTCCTTATACCCCAGAAACATTATGCGTCGTTTGTATGGCGAATTCATATATGAAGAAATCCAAAGTTTAAGGGATCAACAGATTAGAATATTTTTAAAAACAATCTTAAATTATAGCAATTTAAAAAAAAAAACTACTCTGTGACATACATGTAAACTATGAAAGGGAAGTAAAAGATTCGAATAAAAGGTCACGCGTTAAAATCGGTAGAGTCGAAAACCCTGAGGTTATAAGTGAACATGCCTGTACATAACATGACGCGAAATATTATCCTTCAGTTAGTTGGACAGAAAACATATCCCGGAAAAAAGATTAAATAGACACTGTTCTCATTTACAAATGGAGTGTCACCAAGCAATTAAATTGATGGTCTAAGAGTGCGTTCTTATGTTACATGGTGTAACATTACACTGAAAATCTTCATAATTGTACTTCTTGAGTAACATTACATACGATAAACGTTCACTTTGTAATGTAATATTACACGAGGAGTGGTCAGTTTACCTTTAGAGTAGAACTTACCAAGACTCTTGACTGTATACCTATTGTCATCATAACCAGAGAACGCATACACGACGTGAGTACATAGTGATGTGTCAATATCAGATATCTTGAATTTGGCGTCTTCTGAGCGATATATAGACCAAGTGGTCATAAAACACATCACTACTTTACTATTTCCAGAATCTGGAAAGTAAATAACGTCTGCTAAAATAGCGTATAGCTAAAACCACTTGTTATATCAAAATACACATTTAGTGGAATTGGGTATTTGGTTTGTTAAGCTTTTTTGATTAAAAAATATTAAACATTGTCTCACCTGATACGTTTTGACAATTCAAAGCCCAGGACAATGTTGCTAATATAAATAGCACCGAAATATTTTTAATGCCCATTTTTAGGCCTTTTTAATAAATAAAATAGTTTAGATTAAACCTGAAAAATAAAATGCATTTAGTAAATTTTACATAGTACATGTGTTTAAATATAAAGAATAGATGTTTGTATTTTTGCCTGTATTAAAATGTAACTCAAAAACTACTAGGCTGATTTAAAAAATAGTTTCACCATTAGAGAGCTATGTTATTGGTGAGTAACATAGGCCATTTATTATTGTTTTAATTTCACGCAGGCGAACTAGCGAGTAACAGCTAGTGAACTATAATAAAATATATGTTGCTAAGATATATATGTATATTTCCAATAAAAAAAGCTTATATTGCTTTATTTAAATTTGTTGGCATTTTAAAATCACATATAATCAAGAATCCAATTTATGCTATAATCAATTGCTCATATAAACGTGTTGTAGATATGCAGAATTTTAATTAAGTAAATTACACATTAAAGAAGTCTTCGGTTTCGCGAGTAAACAATTAAAAAAATGTGGTGTTACAAGGAAAAAAAAAGCTAATAGAATGACGCTAAATCCAACGCTAAGGTTCGTTACCTCTCCTAACATTCAGGTTTTAACTAGTTTTGTATTTATTGTGTCAACCTGTTATGGAATATTTTAAAAACAAGTATTGGGATTTTAAAATACATTTATTTAAATTTTAACTTTAATGTCGTCTTGTGTGACGTTGATATTTAAAAAATGAAGAACGATTTTGCTATATAAATATGCAATAAAAAATCGTTTGCTAAACAAAGAGTTTTGTCTGTATTTATGAGAAGGTTTATTATATGTTTACTTATAACCTTTCATTTATAAGTACTTTACATGTAAATGTAGGAGCCATCTTAAACTGCGCGATTATATCTAACCTACAAACTTAATATATTTGTTACTAAAACAGTATCTTGAGTAAATAATTCCTTATGTTGAATGTGAGGAAAAAAAAACCGATATGCGGTATCATTATCTTTAGTCATATGCTGATACACAGAATTACATAGCGATCTTTTTAAAACAATACAATAAAATAAGAAATACAGACTACAACAAGTAAATAACATTAATAAGATTGTAAACAAACCTAAATTTTTCTTCTTTCTTACTGCTACCACTGGTATATACAAGTTTTAGCAAAATACTGCCAATTTATATTAAAAACAAATTATTTTAAACCGTCGACTCTCAGCGCGGGATTCCCGCAGACTGAGGTTCACCACACATCGAGATTGATGCACGAATAAACGATTTGTACGTCACGAAGCGTTACAACTATGGATTGATACGTATAAATATCAGAGTTTGCATGTTTGTTCTTAGCGCTAAAATATCTTTTATATTGACTCTAAAATCGCGCACTTCGGTGTATTTATACTATTATAATAAAGCGTAAACACACACTTCTTTGTTGCCTAAGATGTCAGCAATTACAGCATATTTTTGAATAATTCTTTTTTTACTAAAAATCCCTACACTTAGGGCACGCTATAGGCTATATATTTTCACGTTATTGAACTTGTGTGAAATATTTTGGATAAAACCCTAATGTGGGGAAGAGAGCATATGTTGCTGCCAACATCAAGGAAGGAAGATTGCCAAGGTTTGTCATATCATGTTACTTTGACATTTGCTATTGATAATTTGACAAATGTAAACAATGTAATGAAAGTTTCATGCGGATGAACCCGTACGGGAACAGCTAGTTGTTCTTAAAGGTGCTCGTTATTGTTTATAGATTAATTAAAATAATTAAATACTTACATGTAATAATTGTTTAACTTCTTACTTTAAGTGTATTTTAATTAATATCGGATTCAAAAACGGAGTTAAAAAGTTTGTTTCTGTCAATATGTGAATCTCAAAACTTAGTAATCGATTAGAATCTTGCATGTTTAACACCATTTTTTTTTTAAACAACCTCCATTAAAGTTTCTGGAGTTAAAAAACGTGTTAGCAATCTTCAGTTTATTTAATTTTGATCCAGGTGGGTACAACCACATGACAAAACTAGTATTGTGACATGTGTAACATCCGACGTATTTAACCGTAGACGTGTATACTTCTATGAGTATTGGGTTTATGTCTGATTCCCCGTTTTATTTTTTGAGCGTAAGTGTAAGTAGTATCCATTCAATACTTTGTTGTAGCTTTGAGATTGGTCCAAAGATATTCTTTTTAATTATAAAATACGACTTTAAGTCGTCGTTCCCACTTCTTTTACTTCTTCACAATTTTCTCTTTTTCGATATTTTCTCTTTATGTAGTACATCATGAATAAAAAAAATCTATACTAAAAATTTAACAATAAGTTGATTTTAATTGTAAATGCAAATCGGATGCAAAATAAAAACATTTAACTGGTAACATTTGACTAATAGAAATATATTATACTAAAACTTATATCTTATTCAACTTGGTAATAAAAGTTCCCACGGTCTTGTGATAGATTTTATCTAGATAAGAATATAATTTGAAAACGTCAGTAAGAAATCACAGATTCCGCGTGGCGGTACTTCCCTTAGATATGGCTTTTCTTGTCTCCGTAGCACAATGACTTACCATCTTTTTCAACTTATCTTTAACATATAACTATACGTCTTCCAACAAAAAAAATAGTTCATTTGAATTCCTTTAAAATAGGTCTAGCTTTCTGGTAAATATTTAGAAGTCCCATCTTACTAATATTATACATGCAAAAGTTTAAATGGATGGATATTTGTTAGATGTAGATAGTCTGAAGGACACACAGGCTATTTATTTTCGTTTTTTTTTTAAATTCAACCTTAATAATTTGGCTAAAAGACGCAAATGTTTTTTTGCTATTTTTATTGCTCGGTGGTATCTAAATAGGACTCGAGCATACCGTTTATTAGGAGTGAGTATACCTCAGACAATAAGGTTGCCTGCGGTTTGTTCTTGTTATTATTATTTTATTGATATTTATTTAATATACGTGACTATCTAGGCTATTTTTTTAACAGTTAATCTATTTAAAATAAGTGATACATATCGTTTACTTGTAACTTGTGGGTAATTTTTCTGACGCTATTCACCTTTTCCTGTTAAAATACACGATTGTTACACACATTGTATTAGCCCAAGTGTATTCTTGTCTATTGTTTAATATTTGTCCTTATTTTGGTATTCTTAATGCGTCTTCTAATTAATCATTGTTTACAGGAACTTGTGGTACTTAGTAAAACCGAACATTACAGTTATAATTAATTAAATACGTAACATTGTTCTTGCTTGTTTTTATATGTATGTATAACTAGCTAATCCCATGCGACTTCATCCGCATAAAATTAAAAAAATCACTTTATTGTTCACATTTGTCAAATTATCAATTGCAAATGTCAAAATGACATGACATGACAAACCTTGGCAACCTTGCTTCCTTGATGTTGGCAACAACTTATGGTCTCTTTCCCACATTAGGGTTTTTATCCAAAATATTTACCCCTAAGTTTAACGGCGTGAAAATATATAACCTAAAGCGTGACGTAAGTGTAGGCCTTTTTTTTTAAAGAATTATCCGAAAATTTGCTGTGATTGCTGACATCTTAGGCAACAAAGAACTGTGTGTTTACGCTTTATTATATTAGTATAGATGAGAGAGCGTGGATGACGTAGATATTAAGGGCTTGACAGAACCGGACTAGTGCATTGTTAATCCTTAGTTTTTACGACTGGGAATTACGATATTAAGCCAAGTATGTTTACTGTTATTGTCGTAGGCAAAAGCCCGCTTTGGGTTGCTGCGTCACTATAGCTGGTTACGTTAACGGTAAACAAAGAGATTGGTTAATATCTAAAGCTCCTACATAAATAAAACGAGCAAATATTCAATTAGCTCTTTTTGTAGGAGTTTACAATCTTACTAATATTATAATTGCGAATGTTTAGATGGATGTAGGGATGGATGGATGGATGTTTGTAACCTAAATGGCCGAACGGATTTCAATGAAATTTGGCATAGATGTAGAGTATGCAAGAACACATAGGCTACTTATTTTTGTTTTTTAATTCCACGCAAACGGAGTCGCGGGCGAAAGTTAGTTTAGAAATATGTGCTTCTGATTAAGAAAATAGTAATTAAGGATGAAACATTTTAATGATACGAATTACGGTAGTTTTATAATTGTTCATGTGCATATTTAACAGAAATATTTTAGGTTTGTTACGTAAATATGTAAAAGCGATTTGCTATTGTTATCTATTATGTCCATAAGCGTAACAATTAGTACAGCTTACCTCTAAGTCTGACGAAAGCGTCTCTAGCTAAAGAGCTGGAGACTAGTTCATCTGAAAGATCAAGTAAAGGATATTTCATTCGCCCCTATTAAGACAGTTTTATTTTTTTAACGCAAAACTTTTAAGATCTAATTATAATTTACAAGAAAAAAACAACAGGAGCTCTAGATTTTATAACATAGTAACATGTTAATTGTAGTGTTAATGGTTTAAATAATAATAATTGAAAATCAAAACATTTTATTCGATGGTAAATGAAACATAAAAAAGCTATGAAATGTAATTTAAGTTTTTGAAAACGTTGTCAAAATTCGTTAAGTAAAAGACATCAACGCGTTTATGTTAAGTTACAATTTATCAATGTTAATATACACAAGCCGTACACTATAAGTAAAAGCTGTACTCTACAAATCTAGATAACTATGAGTTAAAGGAAAAACAAAACTTTTTTACAGTGAAAAGTTAGTACAAAGCACTGTAACATTCCGAAGGATAAGTTTAATTCATGCTTTGAATTGTTTGAATGTTTTAATTTTTATATTTCCATATTTAAGATTCTTGGCTAAAAGATACTGCAGTATGGTAATAATTTAAACATTTTATGTAGTTATAACTGAGACCAGCTGGTTTATTTATTACCCAATCATGCGTCAACAACAAACCGGATATAAAATAAGATTTGGCACGGTTTATATCCTCAATTAACATTTAACCTACTTTCTACAATTGTATACATCAGATTCTGAACGAAAATATGCATATAGGCAATTATTTTTGTTTGTATGTCACATGTGATTGTCCACCGAAACATCTATAAATGAACATATTTTCTTTGGCTTTTAAAAACAAATGCAATGTAATTCGTTGTATTAGTTGTTTGATGGTTATATTGGATAGTAACTTAAAATAACTTTAGTGTTCTTAAATACTAATCTGTGACTACTTTCCCAATTGTGAGTTTTATGGGAAAATTTGGAAGAGACCTTCGAGCGACGAATAAGGTTTTCAATACTATGTCTATCTTGGTTTGGAGATAAACAAAAATGCTCAATTAATTTACGTTTTAGGTCACCTATTTCATGATAAATAGAATTCATACATTAAAGCTTAAAGCTCATTTGAGTCATTTTCTCGAGTTGTCCAGAATATTTGTTGTCGATATTACCACGAATTAAGCTGCCCTAGGCATTACATAAACTATCGCCGTCATGAGTGCATCATTTTATGTAATCCCCAGTCGTG